CCTGTGTTTACAATGAATCTGTGTTTACAATGAATCTGTGTTTACAATGAACCTGTGTTTACAATGAATCTGTGTTTACAATGAATCTGTGTTTACAATGAATCTCAGCTACTACCTCAAAAATTTACCTCAATATTTGTAAAACTGAGTGATTTTTGGAGATTTTGGTGTTAGCTATGATTGCTTAGCTGTGTCATTTACATTTTAATGTTTGGTTGATACCAAGTCAAAACACAACATGTAAATCCCTCTTTGCTTTTTTAAGGTCAGTTGGGTGTGGCAGCCATCTTGAATTGGGTTGACTCCAACAGTTACTGAGCTGCATACAGTACATACAGCCAGTGATCTCCCTCTGAAAGTTTTATTAAAATCTATTCAATGGTTCTTTACATATTTTGCTAACAGACAGAATTGATTCAAGTAGTTAACTGTGTAGTTTTAAGCACAAATCTTGTATCCTGTTAGCACTCAGAGCAGAAACAGGGATGACTCTCAGCTACCATCACAACAGATTTTAGTTGAGTATGTGTGAAACTGAGGTGCAGCCATCTTTGTGCGTCCTGTGGTAAGTTGACAGTTTTCTTACATCAGGTGTTCACGTCAACCCAAGGATTCCTTATTGAGACTTATATAAAACCTGTTCAGTCATTTGTGAGTTATTTTAGTGTTGGCACAAACAAACAAACACAGACAGGTAAAAGCATGATCACTTGTCTACCTTTGCCAACAGGCAGTAATAATAGTAATAAAAATTAGAAGAAGAGGAGCAACTTGAGTGAAACATAGTAAGTAGAAAGACATTAAACTTAGTTTTTTATACAGAAAAAAGACAATTTCCTTCATGTTTAATTGAAAACTCAAACTTTAGTTAAAATAACTCCATAATGTCAGTAAATAATCACAACCAAATAAATCCAGAGAACTTGGGTAATAATTAGGAGAGCTGCAGGTTGTAATTAATGCATGTTTGTGTCTGCCAGAGGAAACCGGAGCACCTGGAGCACACCTGTACACATGAGAGAACATGTGAACTCCACCCTGTCCTGTTGTGTTGATGCTGACCACTGCTCAGAGCTACATGTGGTGCACACACCTTACAAACTATTTGTACCACACCACTAATGGCAGTCATACCATCAGGATGCTGCTACTGGATGTAAATTAGGGTTCATTTGAAATATTTTCTGGTTTTTTACCCTTTCATTTTTCCAGTTTCAAATCACTGAAGCATCGTTAACAAGCTCAACAACTTCCTGATACTGTGTTCGAATGATTTATCACACTTTACATCTACAAACTGGCACTTGTGATAAAACATTTCAGAGTAAAATATGTTTTATTTTACCTTTATTTAAACGGGCAAATCCCACTGAGATCACAGATGTCTTTTGTAAGAGTGGCCTGGGCCTGAAGGCAACCTATTATAATTATATATTATTATATATTATTATATACATATTTCCGTGTTGTGAGGTAAACCGGAGTACCCAGAAAAATACCCACACAAGTATGAGGAGCACATGCAAACTCCATACAGGAAGACCTCAGGTCTGAACCAGGGATCGAACCCAGCAGTGTGGAGTCAGTGCTAACCACTGAGCCATTGTGCAGATGTCAAATTTAGGTCTATTTTTCTTTTTAAAGGCATTTTTTTTCCATCTGGTGTTGGAACCACAATGTTTTAGTCCAGAGCTTTTATACATGTACATTCAAGATGTTTTAGATTTTGTTTTCAGCTACCTAAAGTATCATCAATAAAACACTGGCTTTTGTTTTTTTATTTAGGAACATTAAGGGCTAAATGACGTTCATCCAAAGACCACTTCTAGCTGTATTTTTCCCCACATGTTGTCTATAACACAGCTCAAAATTAAAGATACTTACGGCCAAACCCTTAATGCGCCTGTGACATCAAATTTTTGTAATAAATATGAATGTATTTTTTGGAAAGATAGCATTGATAACATTGTATAAAAGATTTCATGCCGCTGAGATGAACAGTTGTTGAGATATTTGCATGTGAAGAAACAGGAAGTGATGTCAAAGAGGAATGTCTGCATGTGAACAGAGCCTTGCTAAAATGGCCGACAACACAGACTGTAGAAGAATCTGATGTTTCTTTATTTTAATCACTATCACAGAGAGATGACAAACAGGCATTTAGTTCAAATAATAGTTTAAATAAACAAAAACTAGGGCGTTCCCTTTCTCAAAGAGTTCCCCTTTGATGTCACTTCCTGTTTCACTTCAGCTGTGCCATGTTCAAAAGAAGATATGCCAATTAAGTCAATTATTGGGTAAAATCGTGTATTACGCCAAGTTTCTTAAATATAAATATATTTCTTTGACTTTTGGATCTCATGGAAACGCATGTCACAGGCACTTTAAAATTAAAGCTTGATGTGATAAATTAACCGAAATGTTACGAAGGCCACGAGGGGACATGGGGGGGGGGGGGGTCTTTTGCATTCCCAGGTAATACTATTGGGTTACCTCGCAATACTTCTTGTTTTCTCTCACCAAAGCTGTTTATTACTGTGCCTGTGGGCTTATAAACAAAGGTAGGTAACACAACGGTATTGTGAGACAACACAAAAGTATGGAGTTCACACACAATATGGGCTCTGTAAAATGGGAACATTGTAATGTGTTTATTTGAAAAAAATATGAAAAAAATAACTTTTTATAAAACTGTTTAAGACTGTGTCAGAACCCTACGACAGCATAAATGGGCCACTTTGCAGATGGGAAAAAAAGGAGGCGCAAATCTGAGAAAAAAAATCTCAATTTCTGAGATTAATTTCAGAAATTTGAGAAAAAAAAACAGGAAATTCTCTTATGTTGAAAAGTCGCAAAT